GCTGACGATTGGGAGGTGGCTGCGGGTTGACGAAAGGGAAAAGCGCGCCGCCGACGCTACTCCGAGAAGGGAACTGGACACTGGAAAGTGCAAGGGGTGGCAGATAGCGCTAAATGTATTATCCTGATGGGTTTTGTTCGGGGTTTTTTTTTGGGGGGGGGAGGGGAGGATTGGTTTTTTTGTGGGTGAGGGTTTTGTGTATGTTTGTATTTTTGTTTTGATTTGTGTTGTTTTGTTTTATTTTGTTTTGTTGAAAGAGGTGTTATGCACTTGCAACACAATAAGGTCATGTAAGTACCAAAGAGTAGAGGTGTTGCCAGAGTAACAAATGCAGAAAAGGAGGAGCAGAGATAAGGACGACAGATGTTTGATCAGAAAGAAGGAGAAAAACCACACAGAGCACCCACCAACCACTTAAAGGTATTCCCCAACAAAAATGAAAATGTGATGGTCACATCGATAGAATGAAGAGCATTACATGGACAAAAAGATGCTCTGAATGGAGGCTGGTTGCAGGATGTGTTGCTAACAGACCCCACCCCCCCCCCCGGACACACACACAAACCAAAAAAAGTCGTGTACAAAATTGCGAACAAAAGATAACAGACGATACATTTCCATTTTAACGCGAAAAACTCCCTGGTTATGTCAAAAGTCTTTCTTAAAGTGGAATAACGTATGACGATATAATATATTAGTAATAATATTGCATGTATTAGTAATTGAAACAACATGATCTTACATCAGATCCTACATCGTAACTAGTGGACGGCCTCTTGGTGATGAGCACGTTGTTGAAATCAAAATGCGCCTTGGTGGAGTTGTAAACCGAGCTCTGGAATGGAGCGAAAAATAAATACGCAGTGTGTTGAAATCAGGCGCTCATCAAACAATGACATCAAAGAAACCGGCATTTTTCTGGGCGTTGCGCAATTTTTTTTTCAATTTTATTTTGTGGGCTCAAAAACCTTTAAAAATGTACTTTTAAAAACACATTTCTGTGTGGATATTTCAGCTTAAAAGATGTTCATTAAAGGCACAAAAAACTGTAAATTTCCAATTTCGAAGGACTCTCAAGCTTTGGAAGTGAACAAACGTAGGAAGCCATTTTCTCGCTAGTTTTACCTTCGACATCAGGCCATCACCACCTTCTCCGGATGTAAATATCTCGATTTCTAATCAAGATAAATGGGTGTTTTCTTTCGCCAAAAGCAAAACAAATTTTTAATGAGCAAGCTTTAAGATGATATTAATAACTCTATATACCTAACAATTGACATGCGCCTGATTCCACTGCGCCGCCACACAATAATAATTATGTTTGAAAAATGAAGGAGTAAAAGCTGAAATTTTAACACAGTTTGATTTAATCTTTCACAAACAACCGTGGCTCAGTTTGGAGGATTTGATCAAACTGTACTAATTAAATGATAGCTTTCGCCTCTCCCTGGAGAAGAATGTGGCTGTTCCCGACTCAATTTGAACGAATTCGATCGTCAGTTGTGTGCATCAGGTAAATGGGTGGTTGGAGGGCGCCACCGGTATGTCCCACTTCTTTACTTTCCCCTTTCTTGTTTCTGTCTGTCTGAATGTCTGTCTGTCTGTCTGTCTGCCTGTCTGTCTGTCTTACTTTTCCCCAGCACTAAAAGACCATTATTGTGTCGATGTGCTTCTATTTACTCAAACAAAACAAACAGAGCATCGGGTAATAGTAATAATAATTGATAGCATTTGTATAGCGCAAATCCCCGCTCAAAAGCAGGTTCTATGCGCTTCACAATCCCAGCAGACCTGAGAGCATTCTGAAACAAACTCAACTTCCTGGGAAGCATACAGTGCAAGCAGCCATTTATAGACGCTAAAACAGTAACATACTGACAAGATCTTTCGCTGTATAACTGTATATCTTTGAACTCACGATAAGACGCCTCCACGCACGGGTCACAGCTGTGTTGTCTGCTCCGTAGCGCTGTCTGGCGAAGCTGACCACCCTGAGGAATAAAAAAGTATAAGTTTTACACTTCTATCAACACTATCTTATTATTTAAGAGGCAGGACCTCCGAATTTATCGTCCGTCTCCGACGTACTGGACCAGAGTCGAACAGGTGGAAAGCCTTGATTAAGACACGAAATGGCACGAAAAGACATATTCTAAAACATGAAAAAACACTTCTGACGTAGGCCTGTTTCAATGTGTTGATTCGCGAGTATTCACTGCAGAACGTTTCGATATTTACTTGGATTTACTTGGATCCAGAGCTAGAATCATAGCAGGCGGCACATGTCCATAGCTGCTCATCTCTCCTTTCCAGCGTCCACCTCAGGGTCTTCCTGCTAATTGTCTCCATGAGGCGCTGGTTTGAGACACGCCTGACCACTCCTCGGAGCAAACTTTTTTTCGATATTCTGCCAAACACGTTTCGGAGTGCCACAAACACGTTTCTTTCAAGTTGTTCGATCAGCCCTCGGTCTTCGCAATTGGCCCGGTTTTCTGCCCCTATGGGCTGGCTGTCTCACTGTGGTGTTTCCACTGGTGGACTGGATCAGAGGGCCTGCCTTTTGCTTTCGCCATGAAACGCCTGAAAAGGGCATCGCGCTGTTTCTGCGTTTTCTTTTTAAAAAAACCATCAGAAGCCATGAAAAACCTCTGGTAGTCACGTACCAGTTGGTGGAGAGCCCAAAGCCAACAGGTGACCTCCGCAGCTCACGGAACTGCGCCTCAGCCACACTCTGTAGAATATTGCACAGGTCTGACAGCTTCTGTTGGTGCCCTAAGCCCACCTTCTGTTTCAGGACATTAACATGTCGTATCGTGGAAAAGAGTAACCCTCTGGGCGGTGCCACTGACTGAAGTGTCTTTAGGCCATTCCCAAAGGAGGGACATTTCTCGTTCATGCACAGTAGAAGTGTAAATGGGCTGATTCATCAATGTCACTCTCATAACTGTGCCTGATCTACAACAGGGAACTGCTACTTTTTATTCTCTAATCCTTACTATCGTCATTTTCCCTCTACTTCTTTTGTTTGTTTGTCACTCTCTTGTAACCCGCTATTTCCGGGGTGCCTTTATAGTAGAAGCAGACTTTGTGCTGTTGAAGCTAGAGAAGTGAGCAGAGTAAGTATGATTCCCTGTAAGGACTTCTCTGTTGACATCCACCCCTTGGCGCTCATATGACCTTATGCAGTTGCGAGCCCCGTAAAACCTCTACTAAAACAGGAAAAGAGTGACGGGTGTCACACCATACCACAAGATTCCCATCGTCTACTGACCACTGGTCAACGTCCCTGGGCTCCGTCCTCCAGGCGTTCTCCAGCATAAACTCGTACATGACCTCGTTCTGATTGATTCCCTCGGGAGTGAGGCCGATGCCGACCATGCTGGAGTTGGGGAACCTACGTCCGTGAAACGGGCCCTGGGAATGGAGAAATTATAAAAAACCTTGAATAACACAAATATAGACTAATGACCAAAATCTGATAGTGTAAATACAAATAGTACACCAATACTATGAAATGTTTTAATGCTAATGAAAAGATATAAAAAAGCGATAAGGACCCGCGACCCCGAGAAGTACTATACCTTTTCTCGTTCTCCTTTGTATTCTTTTATAATAATGGGGTTTTTTTAGTTTTTGTTTTGTTTTTTATTTGCTTGGGGGGGTTTTCGTCCTGTTTTTTCGATTTTGGTGCTGATATATGTAAGTTACGTAAACGTGTTCCAACAGGGTACATATTGTTATGCTTCGAGAAAAACAAAACAAAAAAAGGGATGATGAAGATGATGATGATGATGATGATGATGATGATGATGATGATGATGATGATGATGA